ATATCAACCGGAGCATTATGTTGATAAAAACCAAAGTATCTGCCGCGGGTGTGTTTCAAGCGCAGCAATTGAGGAATGATTACTCCGTCAAAGTGCTGAAAAATAAATAAAATAAAATATGTTTATAACGTTTCACTGCGGGCATCTTGTAACCGCAGCACATGGTCCATCAACAAATAAGCTTCCCTCTTTTTTCCCTCCCACATCTCATCACCTAGCCCTCACTCAAGTCGAGCTCGCCGCCGCCCTACAACACACTTCCTTGCCTTCTACTTATAGCCACCGCCGTGTCGTTCTTGCAGCTTTCGCCATCTCGTTCAAGCAATCGACGTCACCGTCTCGTTCAAGCAACCGATGCCGCCTGACGTCGTTGTCTCCGTCCACTAGCAACCCCTGCCTCCTCCAGCAGCGGCACACGTCCTCTGCCCCCGTCCCAGTAGAGTGCACGAAACCGCCGCACGCCGCTTCTTTTCCTAAAGGCTAAAGGGTCAAATAGGTACACGAACTAACTTAAAGTGTTCAATTAGCCCCTTATATTGGAGGTTCTGCCCGACCGTCGCCAATTGGGGCGGTTCCCGGTGGAATTGTTTGATGAAATTTTTTGAGCATCTTCTTCATTAAGTCTAGTTTACTCGTATCAAATTTCAGCTAAAAATTAAATCGGGAAGGCAGTCAAATGATTTTCCAAAATGTACTGCGTTGTTTACCTGCACAGTTATCTTCAAAAAATCATTTGACTGCCTTCCCGGTTGAATTTTTAGCTGAAATTTGGTATGGATAAACTAGACTTAATGAAGAAGATGCTAAAAAAATTTCATCAAAAAATTCCACCGGGAAACGCCCCAATTGGCGACGGCCGGGCAGAACCTCCTATATAAGAGGCTAATTGAACACTTTAAGTTTGTTCATGTACCTATTTGACCCTTTAGCCTTTCCTAAAAGGGTAAGAAACCAACGATTTCAGTTGTATTACTGATGGGCCTATACAAATGGATCGTAGTATAAATAGGCCAGCTGGGAGATTAATTAAATGATTGAGAAGATGCATACTTTAGACTCGCCTGCCGATCGAAAAAAGGATTGGATTGCGCGCACGCCTGATCTTCATTAATCGATTATCGTATGTTAAGGATGTTTTTCTTGTACTGTATTTGATCTTAGACCAGACCAAATTTGAATATTTATAACTTAGATACATATAACTTATACTCATCTTATGACCACCATGTTCGTGAAGTGTTTTTTTTGTTCATAAACAATATTTGGTTTGTACAAAATATTGTCTGTGAACCGGGGTTCACAGACAAACATGGGTGACTGCAAAAGTGAATATAAGAGTGAGTACAAACATCATTTTTGAATTAAAAATATCCTACTTTTACATGCGTAATACTATGAGCCCGTTTGGTAGCACCAAAATCGGCTGTTTTGGCTGATTCTGCTGAAATTTATGATATTCTGGCTGGAGTGGCTGTTTTGGCTGATTCTGCTGATTTAAGAAAAAAATATTTTAAAAATATATTTTATTAATAAATTAAAGAAAAAATTATATGTAAAAATAGCTAAAATGGTCCTCTACAGTAACTTCAGCCAATACAGCCAGAAAAGTAACTCCAACCTTACTTTTTCGGCTTATTACACAATTCAGAGCGCGAAAGTAAAAGTTATGTGTTTGGTGAAAAAGCTGGCTGATAAGCCTGATAAGCCGAAAACAGAGTTCTCCAAACGAGCTCTATATATCCGTCGTATCATAATAGTTGCAACATTGGAATTTACACACTATTCATGTACTCTACTTTGACTACATTTTATTGATTAATGTATGTGAATTTTTTTTTTGAAAATATTGTTGAATTCGTCTCATTACAAAGTTTCATAATCTGATTTTAAAAAAAATTAAATAATACAGAATTAAATATTATGACGGTCAACGTTGTACATTGATAAACATAAAAGAGAAATGTTGTAACTAAAAAAGAACGGAAAAATGACTCCATATGAAGCAAGTACATTGCTGGAGAGATGAGACACGAACATTAAACGTAAAGCCAGGCCACCACGCACATGTGGTATTGAAAGCGCGCTATACCGGCCTAGTAGTAGTACGTAGTCTTTCTTTCAACAATAAATTCAAATCTGGGCTGAAAAAGGCAAGTAGTTATTAATTACGGAGTACATGATACGCTATCCCTATTTCAAATACTCTTTTCTTATTTTTAAAGTTTGCTACACTTCCTTTTCTGGATATATTTAAGAGTTAATTATCAAAATAGGACTAAAAGTCATTCACTTTGCACAAATAGGACCAAAAAATAAACTATGTTTCCATAGGACTAATTATGCTTGTCTTGGACAAATATACCCTTATACCTATTGGAATGTTTTAATTCATAATAAAATAATAAAAAATAATAAAAATTCGTAAAATATACCAAAAAATTAATAAAAATATTCTGAATAATAATAAATTTAAAAAAAAAATTTAAAAAAAAAATAAAAAATAAAAAAAATAAAAAAAAATTTTAAAAAAAATCAAAAAAATATTTTTTTGTCACCGCCGCCTATACCGCCCCAGCACCACCACCTCTAGTCATTTGGGGAAAAAATGCCAAATTTATTATGAATTCCATATTTTTGGCATAATTCAGAATGAGTTAAGATGGAAGAAAAAAAATGTTGGCATTCTCAAAGAGAAATATGCCATATTTTTGGCATTTTCCGAAAAAAATGGAAGTTTGTAGGAAATATGACATTTTTATTTAACGGTCGGAGGTGGTGGTGCAGGGAGGCGGTACCACCACCTCCTGTCACCGGGGTAAAAAAATGCCAAAAAATTATGAATGCCATATTTTTGGCAAAAGTCAAAAGGATTCAAGTTGGCAGAATGAAAATGTTGGCATTCTCATAGAGAAATATGCCATTTTTGTGGAATTTAAAAAAAAGTGGCATTTTTTACACTGATCGGAGGTGGTGGTTCAGGGAGGTAGTACAGGCGGTGGGAAACGTATCCATATTTTTTTTAATTTTTTTTATGGAGTTTTACTATTTTTTTATTAATTTTAAAAAAAAATTAAATTTTTTTTCTTATTTTTTATTTTATAAAAATTTTATTAATTTTTTTATTATTTTTCTACGAATTATTGAAATTTTTTCGAATTTATTATGAATTAAACATTTAATTATGACTTTTAGCTATCTTTTACTAATATTTAAAGGAGGGGTAAGAATGGAAGGAAGAAATGAGTATGTTTCCAATAGGACCACTATGGTCCTATTTTGGAAAAAAAACATAGCAAGTCCTATTTTGAGTTTTTGCCATAGTTTTAGTCCTATTTGAAGTAATTTCTATATATTTAAAAGTTTTCTACATTTTTCCTTTTTTGGTAAGTTTTTTCCTTTAAAAATCCTCAATTATGGTTACTTTTTCTACTTTTATCTCCTCTTTCATACTTTTACACATTCTCTCCTACTTTTTCTACACTATTCATTACCCCTATTATTTCTCCCTAAAATGTTGTGCCCAAACCTAATGTAGAGAACTTAAAAATACGGAGGGAGTATGTGTTTGTCTTGTTTTCTGGAACAAACATATTCCTGAAGTTTATGTGTTTCTGAATTTCTTAAAGCAATAATGATACCCCTCATGTCCTATTAAGGGACAGATCGATTTACCCTTATTGACTTTAAATAAAAAAATACCACAAATAAATTATAAAATCGAAATTGAAAAATAAAAAATCAAAGAGTTAAAAATAAAGGTATATTTTTATGTTAAAATATTAACTCTTTAATTTTAAATTGAAAATTTATTATTTTCATTGTAAATGAAGCACTTCAAATTCATAAATATTAAATTTAGTCTTGTTGCGAAATTTTGATCACATTGTTACATTTTTTGAAATAACATTATTTGATTTTGTTTAACCTTAATAAATTAAAATTCAATATTTTGTAATCTTGGACTCTTTATCATTATACAAAATACGGAGTATGTAATTTTACAGTGCAAACATTAAAAAAATTAATGATTTTTTTACATTGCAACACATATGTTAGCACTAATCCAAAAGAATCTTAAATATATAGTAAAGTGTTGAAATAATATTTATACTAACAATATTAAATTGTGATATAAAAATAATATAAAGGAGAATTGGACACAAGTAGATTTTTTTATATTTTTCGATTTCAAATTTATAATTTATTTTTGATGTTTTTTTATTTTTTTTCTTTTCAAAGTAAATAAAGGTAAATTTGCTGCTTTATAGGAATATGAGAGTTTGTTTTAATACCTTTTAAAAAATCAGGAATATATATATGCATTTCCACATAAACTTCAGGGGCATATTTGTTCCAAAAAATAGAACCAGGGCATATTTAATCTCACAAGTCACACCCATACTACAAGAGGACGTATATTTTTACCATTTCCACATTTCATAACACCACTCACCGTACTATATTTAAATTCATAAATCATTGTATGTATTACATATATCTCGCTAATTAGAACCGAAGCAAAATTAGACAAGGAATGTTTTAGACTTGACACAGTTGACAGCAATGATTGCTAAAGTGGGGAAATTAAAGTGTTTATTGAATCGATTCTTAATCTTTGCAATAATAAGTACTCAGTCCCCTTTCAAATGTCCCATTTTACCATATTGGGATATTTAATTGTCGCATATCTTATTTGGTAAAGTTTGTGTGGCTTAAAATCGTTCTTATTTTATTATCACTTTATTTTTACTTTATCAATTAATATCAACTACACAAACTCACTCTTTTTTTAAGAAACAAACTCACTTTTCTTAAAATCCGCGTCACCCTCTCCCGGGACATTTAAAAGGGGACGGAGGGAGTACTTCATATGTAAGTATACATTAATGAAATGGGATAAAGGTCAGTTTGGTACTCGAAGTTGCAAAAAAGGAGTCAAAATTAGTGTATGTCTTCCCATCTATCCTATAATAAATAAATAGACAACAGATGGACGGCCTCCTCATCAAATCAATACTACGTATTTAGCGTGCGATGCACACATTATTATAGAAACCATAGAAACGATAGTAACTAGTAGTAATAATAATAATTTAAGATAGAGGAAGGCCGGCCGCGGGATAATATGTTGGTTGTGGAGACCCCGAAGGAGAGGGTAGCGAGGGGGACGGAGCAGAGCTGGTGCAGAGCCGTGTCCGCCGGCACTGGCATCACAGTCCTGGCCCTTCAGCTATCGGCGGACCCATCCGTTCTCCGCCCACTCCTCAACACCATCCTAGACGCCCACCCCGTGCTCAGGTCAAAGCTGCACTACAGCACCACCAAGAGGGCCTTCTCCTTCACCACACCCCCCACCTCCCAAATCCAAATTCAACTCCTCGACAGATCATCCACTCTTCATCTCCTCCCTTCCCTCTCCGACCCCGACTCCCCCCTCCCCCCTCTCCAGCTAGTCCTCGAGCACGAACTCAGCAACAACCTTGCCTGGGCCAACCCTGCCCTCTTCCCGCCCTCCGGTGCCGACCTGCTCTTTGCCACCGTCTACGCCCTGCCCCATGCCAAGCATGTCATCGCGCTCCGCCTCCACACGGCGGTGTGTGACCGCACCACCGCGGAGTCGCTGCTGAATGAATTGGTGGGGGCAGCAGGGGGCATACACAACCAAGGGGAGGGTAGTTTCGGAATAGAGGACGTTATGCCGCTGGCGAAGTCAAAGAAGAAGCTGTGGGCCCACGGTTTGGACGTGCTTGGGTATTCCTTCAGCTCTTTTCGGTTGACCAATTTAAAGTTTAAGGACGTAAAAGGCCCTCGGACTTCTCGTGTGGTTAGGCTGCGGATCAGCCGAAGTCACACTTCACGAATACTTGACGTAAGTATATACTATCGTATGAAGCTAGGCCACCCATCCAATTTCCACTCCCTAAAGTCCCTATTACCATCGCGCGACATCACTATAGTAGTACCGCTATAGAAATTACTATACAATTTCCAAAATTTTAATTTTTAAAATAGGATTACAATTAAAAAATAGGGAGATTTCTCAAAATAGGATTAAATGGAGTTTGAAATTTCAACTTCTATGTTTTTATTTCCAAAATAGGACTAACATGACAATATTTACTGCCATGTTAGTTGCATTACAATGCAATTAACATGACAGTATTTATTATAATTAATGTCAGTATTTTTCAATCATAGCAGTAATTTTCATACATGACAAGTAACTACTCCTATTTCAAAAAGAAAAAAATAGTAATCATATTTTGGAATTTCATGCTCCATTTAATTAATCCTATTTAGAGCAATTTCCTCTTAAAAATACTCTACAGTTGCAAGACCTAAAGGTTTGCAATTCTATCATTGCTTTGTTTTATTACAATTCATATTTTATTATTAATTATAATACAAAAGTAATAACATAAATTATTTAAAATAAAAGCGTAAAAAAATTAAAAAACAAGAAATAAACATTTAATAAAATGAATAAAAATAAAAAATACGTAGTATAAAATAAAAAACTTAAAAAATAAAATAAAATAAATAAAAAGTGTAAAAAATATATAAAATAATATGCAGGTCTATGCTGACACCTCAGCAAACTCGCGGCACCACCAGCCCCGATCACTGAAAAAAGTGCGTCTGAAATGCCATCTTTATGGCAATTTACAAAAAAAATTGCATTTTCAAAGAGTAAAAATGACAGTTTTTACATAAAATGACAGGTTTAGGCGATCATAGGTAACATTTTTGGGCAGTGGCCGAGACTTTGGGAAAGGCATCCATTTTTTCAAAGGTGTTTTATCTATTTTTCATTTACTTTAAAGTTTTTTATTATTTCAAAAAACTTATTTTTTATTATTTTAGTATTTTTTAGAAATATTTTACAATTTTTTTATATATTTTATGATTTTTTTACTATATAAGTTAATTTTTTTACAAAGTCTCATTTTTTGTATTTATTATAAATTAAAATATGATTATCCTATTAAGTTATGGTAGGGATACAATAGGAAGATATGATATACTTTAGTCCTATTTTGAGAAGATGAATAACATAGTTCTATTTGAGCATTTAGGGATTAATTTAGTCCTATTTAGGACTATTATCTCTATAGAAATTGCTAGGGAATAAAAATTGGGAATCAACACTTAGTAGTCCTATTTTGGAATTTCAAAACTTTATTACTCCTATTTAGAAAATTTTACCTACTAGTAGTCTTTAATTTTGGGTAATAACTTCATTGAAACTCTGACAAATTAAATTATTATACGTAGTATAAAATTGTAAATCACCATAATATGGTTTTGGGGGCGGCGTTTCAGCCGTAAATGAGGATTTGACCCTTTTTAGTGTTATTAATAAGCGAAAACGTTATTTGATAAATAGTTGTTCGGCCCAAGCATTTTCGGACGAAATTGCTAAAATAGAAATGCTGCAAATAGGAGAGTTTTGAGTTTGTGTTATCAAATATGGTATTTTCTACTAATTATTGTGGCCAAAAAGCTAAATTATCAAACATCTTCTCGAAACTCACCAACTTACTCCTCTAGTCAAATGCACTGACTGAATCCATTATTAAGGATGCTTTCTTTTGGACTAAAATTTGCTAGTCTGGTCTGGTGTGGTCTATTGGAGTTTGGTCTAGTAAATGTCTGGTCTATGTGTATCTTATAACTATGGAAGTCTGGTCTGATCTGATCTGGTCTGTGATGGAAAATTGTCCAAAAGAAAGCATTCTAACAACCCCCTATCGTAATCCGCTATTCGCTAAATGTCAAACATACCCTTTATACTCCCTTTCCCAATATTATCTCCGGTTTTAACTTTACTTGTAGAATATGAAAAATGCAAATTGCACGATCGAGAGTTTCACAGAGGAAAGAGAAATAATATAAATCATGACTTCTTTTGTTAAAAGGAAAATGAATATTTTTTTGGGGCGAATGAAAAGGAAAAGAATGAAGATAACATTGGATTGAAGGGAGTGTATAATAAAAATAACGTCTATTAGCCCTAAATAGATATGAACTTACTCCAAAATGCAATAATAGGACTATAATTTTTTTTATCCCAAAATAGAAGTAATTCATGTTCACTCTTCCCATTCTTCTCATTCTTATAGTCCCCAATAAGACTTATTTTATTAATAACAAAACCATAGATTTTGGGAAAATTGTCGATTTGATTCTCGTACTATCACGGAAAAGTCAATTAGGCCTTCATACTAAAAAAAACCAATCAAGTCCTCGAACTTCAAGAAAATGTTCAATTAGTTTGATTAGCAGGTTACTCGCCACGTCAGCAAGTCACCCGCTGACGTGGCGCACCCGTGGACACCTTGACAATCATTTCCAGATGACGTGGCCCACACGTGTGCCACGTCAGCTGGTGACATGCTGACATGGCTGATAACCTGCTAATCGACCCAATTGAACATCTTTTCAAAGTTCGGGAACTTGATTGATTTGTTTAAAGTATGAGAACCTGATTAACGTTTTCGTGATAGTATGAAGACCAAATTGACAGTTTTCCATATTTTTTTAATACTAAAAACATAGATATAAAAAATATTTATAAATTAGTAATAAAAAATGTAATGAATTTATAAACATAAAATACTTCACCATGTAATGAATTTAAACAAAAAAAAATAGAAGAATAAAACACTTGTGAAAAATACATAAAAAATCAAAAAGTATGAGTATGCATCTTCCACCTCCCAGTACCGCCACCGTTGATCTCTGAAAAAATGTCATCTTATATAAAAAAATGTCATATTTTTCAGAGAATATCATTAAGTTGACATTTTTTGTAGATTTAAATTTTTTCAGTGACCGGAGGTGGCAGTGCTTGAAGATTTAAATTTAACCAGTAAATTTTTTATGTTTTATTTTTATTAAAAATTATTAAAACATGATACGGACAAGGATAGGATAGGAAGAGTTGCTTCTATTTTTGGAATATAAACTTTAATTTATATTCCTAATCTTGCAATTCATTTTTTATTTGCTCTGATCATAATGCACAATTTGGGTGACACATATTCTTTTAATTACTTTTGAATATTACTGGTTAATGTTCATACTGTTTCGAAGGAAACATGGGATATATGATTATTTAAGCAAATAAAATAGAATATTGCCTTCATTTGTAAACAACCCATTTAAAGGTTCTCATTTTCATTTTAGGAAATAGTTAACACTATTAATTAAATGAAAATGTAATCATTTAAATCATTAAATATAATACACACATAGCATAACAATTATTTTCAATGGCACGGTGGAATTATATACTCATCCATATTATTTCACTAAAAATATCTAATTTAACTATTGTTTAAAAAGGTCTTATTTTAGAATATGAGTTTTAAATTGGTAATATGAAATTTGGAGTATTTTTTTAAAAAAAATGTTGGGATGTGGAGTGGTGTATGTATGTTTTGCAGCGGAGAATAGATTATAGATGACTCTAATATTCTAATGTATAGGACTGCAATTCTGCTGGGATTAAATTATGTGGAGTTTTAACGGCAGCGGGACTAATTGCAGCTGCACATTCATCTAGTAATCACAAAAACAAGTATGGGGTGGTGACACTTATGGATTGTCGCTCTATTCTGGATTCTCCACTTTCCCGTCACCATTTTGGTAAGCTAAATTGTTCGTCCCCCTCTTCAATCCATATTATGGGGTGTTTGAAATTGGTTCTGCTTCTGATTTTAAGAGCAACTTGAAGCACTCAGGGACCCATATACTCCCCAATATAGTTAGTCAATATTTAACTCATGCATTCGTCTTGATTCATCGTTTGTACATATCAAGAAATGGTATATTTTTAGGGCTCGGGATTGACTGGAGGTTCGCCGAATATGATAAACACGACACACACACACACATACACACACACACACACAGAGAGAGAGAGAGAGAGAGAGAGAGAGAGAGAGAGAGAGAGAGAGAGAGAGAGAGAGAGAGAGAGAGAGAGAGAGAAATATTGGAGAAAAACTCACTAGGCTTCACATCACCTCACTTCTTTACATGGTGGAATTTATATAGGTTATACAAAAACAAGATAATTAATTCAACACAAGGTTCTAGACATGAACTCCCCATTTAACAACATTTCCTATGCAACATAATTAATGTTATTAATTATTAATTTATTGGAATAAAGATTACTTAATCCTCATAAATTCCACCCCTAATCTTAATTCTCTTTTGGCCCATAGGCCCATAAAATTATTTAATCCACTCAATACATTTCTAAAACATCTTAGATCCTTTATATTAAATGGCCCTTAGGCCCATAAAATTTGAAGACCAGCCCACATCAAAGGTAAGTTGTATGTATGGTCTCCTCTGTTAGCATAGTGTGTGCAAAATACTCCCTCCCAACCCTATGCTCCTAAATGACTATCCACGGTGTTTTGCAGGGTTTAACATGTGTTTGCAGGGGTACAATATAACTTACACTTTAAGAATATTGCATTTGAAAAAGTAGGATTTATTGATTTTGTAACATTACTATACACTTTATTCAAGTATATTGTACTTACTTTTGTGATAGGTTATTTTTTAAAAAGGAAGCAAGATAATTAATTTGGAACGATCCCAATTGTAAAACAGAGAGCTATTTAGGAAGAGAGTAAGTAGAAGGCATGCATAAGTGTAATTATTGATCACCTTACTACTTAAACATATGTAGAATGAGGCTAGATGAGATTAGAATTTAATGATGCATGGATGGATGTGCAGGATTCTATCACTCAGCAGTACTAAACGTACACAAGGTGAATGGTGGAGAAAAACTATGGGACTTGGCAAAGACAAGCTACACTGAATTCGCCAACTCCAAAAAATGCAACAAACACTTCTCTGACATGGCGGATCTTAACTTCTTGATGTGTAAGGCCCTAGAAAATCCGAGCCTGACAGCTTCGTCTGCATTGAGGAGCTCTGTAATTACTGTGTTCGAAGAGCCGGTGGTTGTTCACGACACCCTACTGCACCGTCAGACCATTGGAATTGAGGACTTTGTGGGGTGCTCGTCCGTTCATGGCGTGGGACCATCAATCGCTTTTTTTGATACCATAATAGAAGGAGAACTCGACTGCGCTTGTGTTTATCCCTCACCTTTGCATTCTAGGGAACAAATGCAAGAGATCCTTGATCACATCAAGAGGCTTCTCATTGAAGTGACCTACTCATCATTATCAACAATTTCTTAATTAATAATCATATCATGCATGACTGCATGCCAATATATATAAAAGGTTATTTTGTCAATTTCTTGAGAGAGAGAAATAAGAATTCATTATAACCATTAGATTTATAAACTTCTTGAGAGGATAATATATGTATAAGTAGGGCTCTTTTGTCAATTTCTTGTAGTTGCTTTTTGTAAAACAATACATTTGCAAAACGATTGCCGTTAATTACGTGTGTTTGTTCTTATTACACAAGTAATGTTACATTATTTTATTTTTATTACATGTGTGTACATACTTAGCCAAATAGATTAGAATTGAGGTTGTTGCTTATTGATAAAATCGTAGTTATCAAAGATCCTAAATATTAGGATCTACACTAGTTGTTTGTTACTTGTACATCTGTATATATACTTTGGCCGATTGGCATAATCAATCAAGAAAGTTTTATTCCTAAAACCTACATGGTATCAGAGCCTTGAATTTACACATCACAATGGTGGAATTTGAACACTTTGACTCATGTCCTCATTCACAAACCAGTAATCCTAACCCCCATATTAGCTCAATGGCAAACTATCAGGCCTCAGTTAATTCATCTATGCTCATCACTGGACATAGATTGAATGGAAGAAATTACCTAGAGTGGTCACAGTCTGTCAAGTTAGCAATTGATGGCAAAGGCAAACTGGGATACTGAACTGGTGAAATCAAAGAGAAGAAAAGTGGTGAAGATGGCTACATTGTCTGGGGGTCAGAAAACTCACTAGTAATAGCATGGCTTCTCAGTTCAATGGATGCATCAATTTCCAAACCTCATATGTTTATGAAAACTGCAAAAGAGGTATGTGACTCTATTAAGGAAACTTATTCAGATCTTGAGAACTCTTCTGAGATTTTTGAACTCAAAACCAAATTAAATTGTGGCAGTCTAAACAAGGAAATATGGATGTCATCTCATACTACAATGAGATGGTATCTCTGTGGCAAGAATTAGATTCAATGCTATGAAGATGAAGAGTGGGAAAATGCCAAAGACCTGGCAAGACATAGGAAAAGAGAAGAGAATATGATGATAGGGTCTATATGTTTCTAGCAGGAATTAACAGGGACCTGGATGAAGTAAAGGGAAGAATACTTGGAATTTTTTTTTGTCTTCAATCAAAGAAGTTATTTCTGAGATCAGGATGTAAGACAGAACGAAGAAGGTTATGTACAATACTCTAGTACATAATGATGAACTTGGAGACTCTTCAGCAATGGTGGCCAGAAGTGATGAAAAGAAAAAACCCTGGTGTGATCACTTCAAGAAATTATGGCACACTAGGGAAACTTGCTGGAAAATTCATGGGAAGCCACCAGGAGCAGGAAAGAAGAAGTTTAAAAAGGCTCTACAAACAACTGTGACTAAGACTCAACAAGGACCACAAGTCAATTTCAAGCAGCCTTCCTTCACAAAGGAATAGATAGAACAACTCCTTAACCTTCAAAATACTTAGAAAAATTCCAATCCTAAATCTTCCTTTTGTTCTTATGCCCAGAATGGTACCACTTCATCAATTTTTTGTTCTGGAAAACCTAAAAGTACCTGAGTCATTGACTCAGGGGCCACAAACCATATGACCTCTATTTCAAACCTTTTCTTTTCATATAAGCCCTGTGCAGGGGACAAAAGGTCAAAGTTGCAGATGGCTCTTTATCAGCCATTGTTGGGATGGGAAATGTTAAAATTTCCTCATCTGTTAATCTCTCCAAAGTTTTAAATGTCCCTAATCTATCCTGCAATTTTACTTCTGTTAGTCAATTAACCAAAGACCTTCAATGTTGTGTTATTTGTTTATCCTTCTTATTGCATTTTTCTGGACCTGGCATTGGGGAAGATGATTGCCAGTGCTAGTGAGGAAGATGGACTCTATATCTTTGATGGAAGGGACTCAATCAACTAAAAGAGGTCAAAGAAATGCTTGTTTGCAAACTGTTTTTTTTTTTCAAATAATAAAGAATTGTATTTACTTCAGTATAGACTAGGACATCCTAGTTTTTATTATTTAAAAAAGATGTTTCCTCAGTTATTTCTGAATAAAGATGCTTCTTTGTTTCATTGTGATATGTGTGCACTTGCAAAACATCATAAAAACTCTTGTATTCCCCATAATTATAAACCTACTAGTCCTTTTACTTTGGTACATAGTGATATTTGGGGTGCATCTAGAGTACCAACTATAAAGGGAAAGAGATGGTTTGTAACTATTATTGATGATCATACACGGGTCACATGGGTATTTTTACTCAAAGAAAAATCTGAAGTAGAAAAGGTGTTTAGGGATTTTTATGCTATGGTCCAAACTCAATTCAATACCAACATTAAAATGGTAAGAAGGGATAATGGCAGTGAATATTTTTCTCAAAACCTAAACAACGTTTTTGCTGAAAAAGGACTAATCCATCAAAACTCTTGTATTAATACACCAACTCAGAATGAAATTGCAGAAAGAAAAATAGACATTTACTGAAAGTCACTCGTGCAATCATGTTTTCAACAAAAATACCAAATATCTGGGGGAGAGGCTGTGTTACATGCTACTATACTTATCTAATTAATCGCATGCCATAAAAAATTTTAGGATTTAAAAATCCTATCACCACACTCCATCATTACTTTCCTACAAACAGAATGATTAGTACTCTTCCTTTGAAAATTTTTGGTCGCACAATTTTTATAAAAAATCCAGAAAAATCTACAAGTAAACTTGATCCTAGAGGAACAAAATGTGTTTTTCTAGGGGTCTCTTCCACTCAAAAAGGGTATAAATGTTTTGACCCTACAACCAAAAAATGTTTATCACAATGGATACTTTTTGTGTGGAAGAACAACCTTTCTTTGATACTCATCTTCAGGGGGAGAGTGTAAGTGAAGATGTTCAAACAGTGCCACATATTCATGAACATCTTAATTTTCTTGATATTAATCTTGATGATCATTCCTTTAGAAATATAGGAACATCAAAGGATAGAGGAAGTCTAAGAACCTACAATTGTTCATGATTCTGACTCAATGACACGGAGTGAAAAAGGTAATACTTCTAGTAACCTTGATCTTCCATTTGCTCTCAGAAAAGGAAGAAGAACATGTGTTAAATACCCTATCTTAAACCATGTTTCTTATTCTAAATTGTCCTCATCTTTTGCAACCTTCACTTCCAGTGTTTCCTCTATTTCTATTCCTTCAAACATGCATGAAGCTTTATCTAAACCTGAGTGGAAGAAAGCTGTTTTGGAGGAGATGGAGGCTCTTGAAAAGAATCAAACATGGAAGATTGTAGAGCTACCTGAAAATAAACCAACAGTTGGCTGCAAGTGGATTTTCACTCCTAAGTTTAAGGCAGGTGGAAGTCTTGAAAGGTATAAGACAAGATTAGTAGCTAAGGGCAGGATTCACACAGACTTATGATATTGACTACACAGAAACCTTTGCACCAGTTGCAAAGTTGAACACTTTAAGAATACTTTTATCCCTTGCTGCTAATTTAGACTGGCCATTTCACCAACTGGATGCAAAAAATGCCTTTTCAAATGGGAAACTTGAAGAATTCCTGGGTTTGAGAGAAGATTTGGTTCAAAGTTATGTAAATTAGAGAAAGCCTTGTATGGACTTAAACAGTCTCAAAGGGCTTGGTTTGATAGGTTCACAAGGTTTATAAAAAGGCAAGGGTTTAATCAGGTCCAAGCTGATCATACACTATTCATGAAGTTTTCAAGCAAGAGGGAGATTGCAATATTAATTATCAATGTAGATGATATTATCCTCACAGGTAATTATCATACAGAAACAAAAAACTTAAAGGAAAAACTTGCTGAGGAATTTGAGGTCAAGGACCTAGGAGAATTGAAATACTTTTTGGAAATGGAGATAGCCAGATCAAAGAAGGGAATTGTTGTCTCATAAAGAAAGTATATTTTAGATCTTCTACAGGAAACTGGAATGAGTGCATGCAAACCAGGTGACACTCCAATTGATCCCAGTCAGAAGTTGGGAGATGTCAATGAGGGAATTCCAGTTGGTATTCATCAATATCAAAGATTGGTGGGAAAATTAATATATTTGGCACATACAAGGATGGGCATTGCATTTGCAGTAAGTATGGTGAGTCAGTTTATGCATCATCCTTTCCAGGAACATCTTGATGCCACTTATAGGATCCTAAGGTACCTGAAGAGCTGCCCAGGGAAAGGGTTGTTTTTCAAAAAGGGGAACAGTAGGACAGTTGAGGCCTTTGCTGATGCATATTATGCTGGCTCAATATCTGATAGAAGGTCTACTTTTAGATATTGTACCTATGTATGGGGGGAACCTAGTAACTTGGAGAAGTAAGAAACAAAATGTTGTTGCTAGAAGTAGTGCAGAATCAGAATTCAGATCTATGGCTAATGGAATTTGTGAATTACTCTGGATCAAGAGATAATCACAGAACTGAAGATGAAGATAGAACTGCCTATGGAGTTGTATTGTGATAATAAAGCAGCTATTAGCATTGCTCATAATCTTGTGCTACATGATCGAAAGAAGCACATTGAAGTGGACAAACATTTCATTAAGGAAAAGATTGGAGTTGAAATTGTGTGCACACCATTTGTATCCACTAAAGATCAAACAGCTGATATCTTCACCAAAGGATTATTTGAACCAATGTTTGAACTACTTATAAGCAAGTTGGGAATGTATGATATATATTCACCAACTTGAGGGCGAGTGTAGAAAATGTTACATTATTTTATTCTTATTAGATGTGTGTACATACTTAGCCGAATAGATTAGAATTGAGGTTGTTGCTTATTGATAAGCTCGTAGTTATCAAGATCCTAAATTTTAGGATCTACACTAGTTGTTTGTTACTTATACATCTGTATATATACTCTGGCCGATTGGCATAATCAATCAAGGAAATTTTATTCCAAAAACCTACACGTGCCATTAGTTGATTCCTTCAATTTTATTCTTTTAATTGCTTTGTCTAACCACACATCTTACCCAACCCATTTGGTAAGAGTTTCACAACTAGAAACTCTTACCACACCTTTTTTGTGATTTCCCATGAATTAATGCTCTTACCATACCGTGTTATGGCATCTGCAGCTAAAGAAATTACTTCGCTCTAGCTCTTACTACACGAGCTCCATATTCCATCTCACTTTGTGATCTCACTCTGCTCGCCTTCATTGTGATAATCAAGCATCCCTACGTCATTGCAAAAATTTTGATCTTCCATGAGCGTACGAAGCATG